ACATGGTGGGCACTTGTGTTACCATAAGGCTAGAAGTCAAGAAAGTTCAGACCATAAGAGTTTGGATTTGTCGCAAACTTGGTTTTGGCCAATTCACATGGATAGGAACACATACACCTTAAAATCTAAGTGTCATAAGATTCCCCCTTCATGAAAATGGCTGTGAGGAAATGCTTTCACTAAGAGAGATTTTAAGAAGACAGCAATTGTGAAAATTGTATTCTCAAGTTAGATTATGGTTACAGCATCCCTTTCCATAGTTCGAATTGTGAGATTTGGCAATTAGTCTAACATTTGGGACTTATTGATATAATTTCTGAATTGTTTAGACACACATATGAGCTATCTACGACAAAGGTGTATAAGTTTAAGAAGCTTAGATACAGGCTTATCGAAGCATCTGGTATTAGAAATATGAACTTCAGAAATTAAATAGGCATTGTTTTCTGGAAGTTCAGCTGTTTTCTGAATACATATAAAAACTAGTGGGAGCATAAGTGTTATGCTTATATGATAATAATCATCATGATAGTGGGAGCATAAGTGTTATGCATGTATGGTTATTATGGCAACTATTGCAAGTTAGCAATATTAATTATAGAAAAAAAAAATTCAATTTGCAAAATTGCATGGGTTGAAAAGTTGTTTTGCTACAATTAAGGGAGAGAATACTATACTTCGTTTCAAAATATAAAGCTTAGATTGAGAAATTTTAATAAATTTAGTCAAAAGATACATAGTGTGTTCTTAAATTTCGATTATGATTATGGCATCCCTCTTCATAGCTCGAATTGTGAGAATGTGACACATAAAATATTATGGCAGAAGATTGATAAAGTATCATATATTTATGTAAGACATTATGCATCGTGTCCCATACGCTTCGGGTATAGGATCGATTGCAAATGCTATAATATTTGACCATTCTAAAATTTTCCAAATGTCTGGCGCATTAAGAGGGAAAAAGGACTAGAATCGGTTTTAACTAAAATAATTAAACAACTATCAAAGGACTATCCAAAGTTCGTTGAGGATTGGTCGCTTGTGAGTAGTTGGAAGTATGACATTGGATGGACCATATCGACATTATTATGAATAGATAAGATTCTATTAAGAACGAGTTGTCATATGGAAAATATGGAAATGTTTCCATGTTGGGAGTTGGATATTAAGAGTCTATGTCTAGATTAGAAAATTTTATGCAAGAAGGATGTTTAAAGGAATGTGCTTTAAATGTGAGACTTCACGTCTATGGAATTGTCTTGTAACAATTTCCGATAGAGTACTTTGTAATTTCATTGGTCAAGTCTTGTTGACTTTTGTGCTATGATTTTGCGAAATGATCGTTGCATAAAATGTTAAAATCTAGCATATTCTAGTAGTGGCAAGAACCTTGTGTTCTAGCACTAATGATAAGGATTGGGAATTGTGAAATAAGCATCATTAGAAAAAAATTTCAATCGATCTATTTCACAAAGTAAGGACCATAGAAAACATAGTGTGCATGCTTTGTGCATCGGACAACTATTGTTGTAATTTGAGTACTAAGTTGATTTTCTGAAACAGTAAATGATAAATAATGAGTAATCAATATGGTTGTTAAATAGAAGTGTTTTATTTACTCTCACAAGTTTGGGGCCATATAGGATTAAGTATTATTATTTTGTTTAAATTTTGCATGTTTAACTTCAAGAATAACTGGGTTATTCAAACCTCCACAGTCGGTCATACTTTGGAAGTAGGTATGAAGCAAGACCGTCGTGAAGAGTCTGTAGATTGTCTAAAGAGTTTAGACATAGCACAAGTTTGCTGCAGAGTTCATGAGTGCTTTGATAAGATTAAAGTATTGCATTAAACCCACGCTCACGTGAACCACTTCATGGTTTATATCACGAGTGATTGTGAGTCAATAATATTGTGTATTCTTGAAACCGAGACGTGTGAGTTGTTATTTGTTGGTCGGTTGCACATTGATAATAAGTAAACACACCAGTAACTTGGTGTTATAAAACTTATTGTTGTGTATGATTCGATCAGTAAATGCAAGCAAGCATTTGAGTTGAGGTTTATCCATTCCTTTTACCCAAAGTGGGATAAAAGCGATATATGTGGGCGATGATTTAGTGATGACACCTAAATGCTTGGCCAAGTCGGGACTAAGTTGATGTGTTCAATTGTAGTCTGTTGTCAGCCGTCATAAATTAGAAGTCGGGAAACAGTATAGAGAGAGTGATCGATATTCATGTCTTGTGTCTATACGATATCTTGAGAATGGAGGAATATATGATACATTATCTAAAGGACACACGTATCTGATAAGATCAAAGTTGACAGCAGCTTTTGAGAGCCACGATTGTTGATCAGGTTTTGAAGTTTATGCAAAATAATTATTAGACTTATCCAAGTGGGAGACTGTTGGATTAGTGTCTAAGTCCATAACCATTTTGGTATGTACTTGACCCGATTATGAGCATGGTCCTTTTGGTTGCCTTCACCATAGCAATATATAGGATGAATTAAGGAGAGAAAGGATTAATTATGATTTATTAATATATTATAAGAATAATATATTAAAGGAGAAATCATAATGTTTAATTAATATTAGTCAAGAATTAATTGAGAATTAATTTTGTGGCTAAAAGAGATTAATTAAACTTAGGGGACTGGAATTGTAATTATAAGATAATTGAATTGGGCTATGGATCACCTTCGAATAAAGGTTGACGAATTCTATGGGGAAGCCCATTAGAAATGTCACATTTCCAAAAGGGGTCCATGGGCTGCTTAGGGCTTAAGCAGTCAAATTAGGGTTTCCTTGTTTGATAACCCTAATTGCCTAAGTATATAAGGAACCCTTGGGCACCAAAAAAACGTGGCTAACACTTCCTTTAGGGTTTCCAGCT